TGGGGCGTCTCAAAAACATGTATGATTAATTTTTGAGAAATAAAAGTATTTATTATTATTTATTATTATTATTATTAATGTTGTTCCGATCTATGCAGAATGTATATTATAACTTGAAGTTTTACAATAGGTATTTTGCTTAGGTTTAAGGTTAACATCGAAAACCGTTGAAGCGGGCTATCGCCGGACTAACCAGAGTAAAACATAATTTCTATAAAAACTTCAAAAATGCCGTCATAAGGTCTAAAATTGCGTAGCGCCCGCGGCGACTAAAACCGCTTAGAAATCGCGTAGAATCTTAAAATATTTTTAAAAAATTATTGATTTTAGTAATCAAAATAATGAGCAAGTAAATTACGAATATTGATGTTATGAATGTATTCGAGTGGTTTCCAAGCATATAGATTAAGTAATTTCGTTGTAATTTCAACTATAATGATTTTTTAGAGGTGTTTTCGCAAATAATTATGATCGAGTCAAAATTTTACAATCGGGGTTTTGAGCCAGCAAACTCAAGATAAAGACATGAATTTACCTATATCAAAATTCCAGTTTCGTTAGTCGTGTCATACTCCTACACTATTCGATGAAAGGAGGTGCATTTTTTCGCGGTGTCGCCTTAAGTTGAATTTTGTACCTACAGTCTTTGTGCTTTATTGCTAAAATTGTTTCTATGAGAAATGCGCGTACAGACAGGGATATAATGGTGACATTTGGAAAAAAATCCGAGAAAACTCTACTGAATGCTCTCGATTAAAATTATAATTAACAGTAACAATTGTAATAATGAACAGTTGCATTTAACATAACTTGAAAGAATTCAATAAATAAAAAGAGCGTTATATTGTGTAACTAGAACAGTCGTTTAGTCACAAAAAAAATCATTTTTCAGTGAAAACGAGCGTTTCAAAATGTACAAGTGACATATTTATCGTGTTTAATTTAACTGATAATATTTTAAAAGGCCCTTTTTACTGGAAATGAGGCATTCCATCTTAGTCCTCACGGGTGACAACGCATCTACATTTTGATTTGTAATAGAGGATAGATGTAGATGTCTATGGGCCGTAGCAACCACTTACCATCAGGTGGACTGTGTGCTCGTTTGTCACCCTTATCCTATAAAAAAATATATATTTTTTTTATTCCCAACGTTTGGAAGGACCATAGGACCCATTTAATAAATAGGGACAGGGATACTTCTGAAAAAGTTATGATTCTGAAAAAATATCCATGTTCTCAACTTTTTTAGTTAAATAAAAAAGGCTGACAAAGTTTTGTTGCATATTTATTCCGATCCGCGAAATAAAAACAATGTAGCTCGTAGCTCATAAATTCCGCCCGGGCTGCGGGCGGGCCCGTTCTCTGAGGGTGGAGTTGTGAGATACCTGAAGCTTTGTGCGCTGAATCGTATTTCACGTTTCACTGAATATTAAATGGCATAAGCACTCACTTGAAGAGCGATTGTATAGTTGCTTAGAAAAATGTGACTTGAAATAAAGCAGAAGTAAACGGAAAAAATGTTTTTGTGATTAAAAAATTCTTCTTACAGTAAGCAGCTACTGGGTTAAGGAAATCATCATCATCGCCATCATAACAGCTTATCAAAATACCTTGCTGAGCGTAGGCCACAACCATACATTTCCTCATATCAGTAAGATGGTGCTGTCTATCTCTTATTTTATTTCCCTTTTTCGCTGTTAGCGGATTCTCTTAAATAAGGGTATCAAGCGATGTGTTCGCTCCACCTGATAGTAAGTGGATGCTGAAGCCCATAAATCCTCGATTAAGAATCAAAATGGAGATACGTTCTCAGTCACCCCTGAGAATTAAGATACCTCGTTTCCAGTAAAATGGGTATCCGGTTCTCTACACTCACTATACGAAACACAGCAGCATTAATCTGCTTTTTCACACAGGTATTCTGTGTGAGCGTGGTCTTACCATACTTACCATACAATACTTCATGCTACAATCATAATATAGCTGCAGCGTGGCCGCTGCTACCACTTAAGTACTAACTGCGTATAATTTTATTAGTTGGTCTGATAATGACGCCTCAGTGAAGAAACATTAAGAATAACTAATTTGAGAAAATAAAATGTTTGAAATTTTGTATTTCGCTTTTGGTTTACATTAAAGCAATGAGCAATAATAAAAAAAAAACATAAATAGAATAAATTGATTGATTCTACAAGAGAAGATTTATTTTACAGCGGTATTCGATTTTTAATTTATAACTAGCTATCCACCCCGGCTTCGCAGCAGTGATTTCTAGATCTCGACAACAGCGTCACCTACCGAGTCCAATTGTGAATCTAAACCATCCAGGGATCCACTGAAACACACAAAAAATTTCATCAAAATTAGTCGAGCCATTTTCGAGTTTTAGTTCTTGTACTATTATTTATTCTGTGGTTTTACTAACGGACAGCAATTGTTACAGACGAAAAGAAAATATTTTCTTTCATTTTATTCATACCTGCCTCAAAATTTACCATACATAAAACACAGCAAATTTGAGAAGTTTGGGTCCAGTAGTGAACAGACTTACACTGAAAATATTTTGTCCAAACAGTTTGAATTATTATTCGTATTAAGTAGATGATATGACTGTGACAAAGTGCCGAACTTCACTTAACAAAAACACAACAAGCAATCGTTATAGACTAATAACTGTGTTTGTGATCCGCTTCCGATATACATCTGTAAAGGTCTGCAATTTTTTATTAAAAAATAAAAGATATGCATTTATAATATATATTGTTTGGATAACAATAAATATTCGCAAAACATCCCATTATCATAGTCTTTTATCGGTTACTATTTAATAATTTAATAAAAACAGTAAGGTATTATCTAATGTTACAATTTTCCTTGTCACAACGTTACAGTCGCGTACTTCCGGATGCCAAGGTGCTGATAAAATATTTATTTAAATAAATAAATATTTTCTTCTAGCCCCATATAGGTTTGTGACCTCGTACAGATAAATCGAAAAACGTAAGGAGCATGTTTGAGTTTTTCAACTAGCTTTTGTTGAAAGAAAGGAAAGTCGACATATCGACTGACGTGCAGTTTCGTGGTCACTTGGAAGAGAAGGCCAAATTGGCCTCTAAAAAGCTTGGCGTGCTCAGCAGAGCGGGACAGTATTTCATGCCGGCACAACGCCTGCAACTTTACAAGGCGCAGGTTCGGCCTCACATGGAATACTGTTCCCATCTCTGGGCAGGGGCTCCACAGTACCAACTCCTTCCACTTGACCGCATCCGGCGCAGAGCGGCTCGAGACGTCGACGACCGAGTCCTTTCCGATCGGATCGATTCATTGGCGCTGCGAAGATATGTTGCATCCCCTTTGCATTTTCTTTCGCATGTACCACGGGGAGTGCTCTGAGGGATTGTTCGGAATAATCCCAACCGCCAAATTTCACGAACGCACATCGCGTCAGAACTCCCGCTACCATCCACACCATCTGGATGGTAGTCCACTACTGTGCGATTTAGAAGATGTTTTCTTTCTCGCACAACCGACAACCGCACAACGCGATAAATCCTTGTGGAATCGATTACCATCAGCGATTTTTCAGGACCGATACGACTTAGGGACCTTCAAAAAAAAGAGCCTACCCCTTTTTAAAAGGCCGGCAATGCATCTGCAATTCCCCTGGTTCCCCTGGTGTTGCAATTGTTCATGGGCGGCGATAGTCACTTACCATCAGATGAGCCGTATGCTCGTTTGCCCTCTCTCCTATAAAAAAAGTAGTTATAAATTTAAAAATGTAAAGTTGAATATCCGCTACTCTATATCATCCCGTGAGTGTCGTAAGCGGCGACAGAATAACTGAAACGGGAATGGGCAGCAGAATCTTTCTGATAACAGCACTTTTGCAAAAATATGAGGGAGAGAACTATGTTTCGAGTCTTACTAATGTAATTTTAAATGGGGAGAAACAGTCTTGTATATACCACCATTTTTCTTGGAATCACACTAGACGCGAAGCTTCAATGGAGTCCCCATATATCAAAACTAGCAAGCAAACTTAGTTCTGTAGCATATTATGCTGTAAAAGAGATTAGAAGTCTTACCAGTGTTGAAACAGCTAGACTAGTTTACTTTAGCTATTTCCATAGCATAATATCGTATGGTTTTTTGCTATGGGGACACGCAGCTGACACTGACATTATATTTGTTTTACAGAAGAGGGCCATAAGAGCAATTTATGATTTAAAGCCTAAAGAGTCGCTGCGACAAAAATTTAAGGAAATTAATATATTAATTTTGGCCTCTCAATACATTTATGAAAATGTATTGTACGTACACAAAAATAAAAGTAGTTTTACAAAAATAAGCGATATTCATTCTGTAAATACTAGGAACAGACACAAGCTAGTAGTACCAGTTACTCGACTCCATCGAGTCAGTAATTCATTCTTGGGGCGATGTATACGCTTCTACAACAAATTTCCAGAAAATATACAAAATTTGACCTGCTCACCGTACGAAAACTTTATTAAAGTAAGTTTGTATAAAAAGGGTTATTATAATATTAGAGAATTTATGGATGATAATAACCCCCTGGAAGTGAGGTGATCGCTAACAAGCTATTTCTAATTTGTTGTGTTGTTAATTTGTGTAACATACATGATTGTAAGCTGTTATTTCAAAAAAAATTCCCCCTGGGTTTCTTGGTGGTTCTTCCCAGGACAGAGGTTTTTTTTCGAACCAGTGGTAATTAAACAAAAGAGTGACAATAAATATGAATAAAAAAGTTTCTGTTTCTGTTTCTTACCTCATCGGGAAGTTAGTTTAAAATCGATTGTGAAAAACGTACCAAACAGACTGACAGACAAGAAAGTGCTTTAATAAAAACGTCTCAAAATCAATACAAATAAAATTTAAAAAGAAAAACAAGAACAAATTTTTAATTCGGCTCTACTGTAAGACGTAGCGTTTATATAAAAAAAACTGCATAATATAATATTTTTTTCTTTTTTCAGGGTCTCCGAGTAACAACCATCATCGGCTCATTCGGAACATGCGCCGGCGCTTGGCTGAAGGTGTTCTCGGTGCCCCAGGACATGTTCTGGCTGGGCTTCGCGGGACAAACCGTGGTGGCGATCTCGCAAGTCTTCATCCTGAATGTGCCACCTCGCCTGGCCGCCGTGTGGTTCGGCGCTGATCAGGTGTCTTCCGCTTGTAGTATTGGAGTGTTTGGCAATCAGGTAAGCAAATTTATAAATATAATGCATTATTAATGACTTTACTATGTGACCGAGCTTTTTTTATAGAATAAGGGTTCGGTACCCATTTATCTCCATCGATTGTCGATTCTTCGAGTTGTACTATAGTCATTCTCTTAGCACTTCAATTTACAATCCGTTGGGCTATTTCAGAGGAGCCCCGAGCTCTACATTATACTTAAACGTAATCTCAAATATGTAAAGTTTTTTTTTTATAGAGTAAAGGTGACAAGCGAGCACACAGCCCACCTGATGGTAAGTAGATGCTGTGACCCGTAAGCATTTACATCTGTCCTCGGTCAAGAATCAAAATTCTGATGCGTTGTCACCCCTGAGTACTAAAATGGAAATGCCACGTATTCAATAAAAAGGATATCCGGTTCTCTAATATACGGAACACAGCAGCATTAAGCTGCTATTTTACGCTGGTATTATGTGCGAGCGTGGTCCTTCCCCGGTCGAGGCGACCCATTTGTGACATATGGCTGTGACACCTAAAATTCTAGGTTCTGTTCTGTAGGATTCCATTTTTACCCATTTTATCCCGGATTTTTACCCATTTCTGCTGTTAAGCAGCAGTGCACTTGCTGTTGTGTTCCTGTTGGAAGGATATAGAGAGACGATACAATTACAGGGGATATAATTATTAATATAAAACGCGAAAATTCGGTTGGTTGTCTGAAAAAAAGCAGAGCTTTTGTTTCCTGATAAAAATCGGTATTCTATTGCCAGATTGAATGTAGTCTAGTTTTTTAGAGCATCCGTGAGATTGCGGATGCTTTGTAGTCCGAGTCTAAATGTAATTAATATAATTAATAGAATCAGGCGTTACTTTGCGGTTAACCACCGTAGAGTCTATATCACCTGAGGATGCCTCGTGTAGAGGCGAAACACGTGTCGTATTATCGTCAGTGGTGTGTCTTGCCTAGTGTAGTGGTGTTGGAAGTAGCGGTGCTGGGATTAGTGGTGACGGGGATAGTGCACGCAATTGAGGGAGGGCGGGAGGTGCTTCTTCATACTAGGTAAGACACATCATTTTATTTTATAACGCGGATATTTGTGAAGTAAATTTTTGTAAAAGCTTTTATAAAATGTAATTAATACATTTTTATAATTAACTAGCTGACCAGGCAGACGTCGTTCTGCCCTTTCCAACGACCATTTGATTTCCTAAAAAAACTCCTGAAATTAGCAATAAAAAAATTGAGCGTCACTTATCGGGATAAAAACTATCCTATCTCTCAAGTTGGACCAAACTGCACACATTGTGAAACATTTCATTGAAATCAGTTCAGTAGTTTAGGAGTTCATCGCGGACAAACAACGTGACACGTAATTTGTAAATATAAAGATTAATTTTAATTAATTTTTAAGGAAATTTGTATTAATTTGTTGTTCATTTTTTTATTATATGTGTTAGAGTGCACTATAACAGTTTAAAGATGTGACATAAGATAATCTTCATAATTACGATTGTATGTCTGTATTAGTTCAATGTGTATATTACACTTCAACTAGCTGTTAACTGTAATTATCTTTAGTAATCTTCAAAACGATAGCAATAATCACTAAATAATCATGAAAGGAGTTTACCCTGGCTACAGAATCAGCTCATCATCATGTTTTTTTTAATAAATACTACGGTTTTCGTCCACTAGCAATGTGCATACCAAATTTCAACGTGATACCAGGTTTTTTACGAGGTAGAGCCATACTGCAGCTATATTATTTATATAGTTGTAGCACGAATGGGTTGGCTCGACCGGGGAAGGACCACGCTCTCACAGAATACCAGCGTAAAATAGCAACTTAACACTGCTGCTTTTCGTATGGTGAGTGTAGAGAACCGGAGACATTTTACTAGAAAAGAGGCATCCCATCTTAGTCCTCATGGCTGACAACGCATCTGCATTTTGATTCGCAAACGAGCATAGATGTAGATGTTCTATGAGCCATAACAACCACTTACCATCAGGTGGACTGTGTGCTCGCTTGTCACCTATAAAAAACCGTTGAAGAATTAAAAAAAAACGTTTGTACAAACTCACTTTAAGACTGTCTGTTCTGTGTGAGTCTTGTTGCGTGTACATAAATAAATTACTATGCACATGCACATTCGGTACTCTCCTATGGCATCATATTTTGGGGAAACTCTTGTGATGTAAATAGGGTTACCAGATGAAAAAATTAAAAGTCCGGAGAAGAGGCCTGAATTCCATTTAAAAATCCTGAGATTTTTTTTACAGTTTGAGGAGAAAACCTTACTTAAAAAGGTATCTTCACATATTAAGTATGATAAAACAGTTTAAGTACCTACTTGGATGTACTTGGACTTGGAAGTTTTGATTTTAATTGTGGAATTATTACCAAAGGAAAATTATTTTTAGTTTGTTTAACTTTTTATTAAAGAGATCTTTAAAATGTAAGCTGTATTATATTGAAAGTTCTAAAAATCCTGAGATTTCATGAGATTTGCAAAATCCAGCCGCAATCCTGAGAAGTCTAAAAATCCTGAAATCTCAGGACAAATCCTGAGATATGGTAACCCTAGATGTAAACAAATTATTTATATTACAAAAGTAGTGTCTACCAATATTAACGAATTTAGACCAAATGGAATCATGTAAACCTCACTTCATTAAACATAAAATAGTAACACTTACGTCTATCTACATCCTCGAGTCTTGTAAATTCGTCAGGAAACACCCAAAATTCTACTCACCTGTTACAAGAACTAAAAGAAATAATAGAAATTAATATAAGCTTAGCATACCCTTCTCCAAATTAAAATTAGTTTCGACTAGCCCCCACGTTATGTCAATAAAAATTTGTAACCATTTACCGCATTTTATTAAAAACCTAGAAAACCCTGCGCAATTTAATAAACAATTAAAAGCATTCCTTATTAATAAATATTATTATTATACTTTAAGTGAATTTTTGACGATAAATAATGACAAAGAAAGAATACTTCGACTATATTGTATTTCTAATTTAAGTAATTTATATAAAATAATATTGAATGTTGATGATATGATATTTTATAATTTATGTTTAAGTTATACAAAAATAGTTAGCCCTCTAGTGTTCCTGTGCCCTTGCAGGGCGTCACATGTATACCTATCAAATGTCATCATCATCATCATTACAGCCCTTCACAAGTCCACTGCTGAACATAGGCCTCCCCAAGGAATGCCACAAAGCACGGTCCTGAGCCACCTGCATCCATCGACTTCCTGCATATCTTACCAGGTTGTCACTCCATCTAGTGGGGGGACGCCCTACACTTCGCCTGCCGGTACGAGGCTGCCACTCGAGAACCTTTTTTCCCCATCGGTTGTCGGTACTTCGAGCTATATGGTCGGCCCATTGCCACTTGAGCTTACTAATCCGTTGGGCTATGTCGGTCACTCTGGTTCTACTGCGAATATCCTCATTTCTAAGTTTATCACGCAGAGAAACTCCGAGCATAGCCCTCTCCATAGCTCGCTGAGCGAACTTGAGCTACCCTATCCGGCCAGCGGTGAAGGACCACGTCTCAGTTCCATATGTCATAACTGGCAACACGCACTGGTTGTACAGTCTCGTTTTCAAGTTTTGAGGTATACCTGACGAGAAGATGTGCCGTAATATCCCGAACGCTGCCCAACCGAGTTGAATCCGTCCATTGACCTCTCGGTCGAAGTTGGACTTACCTAGTCGGACTATTTATCCCAGGTAAACATACTCGTCAGTAACCTCGAGCTTAGTGCTCCCAACAACTACAGGCATAGGTGTGACATGGACATTAAAATGATCTTTGTTTTGTCCATGTTCATCTTAAGACCTATCCGTTGGAAAACACTATTGAGGTCATTGAGCATCGTGCTTAGGTCCTCCAGCGATTCTGCCATAAGGACTAATCGCCGGCAAATCGAAGGTGAGTGATGTACTCGCCATTGATGTTGATACCCTATCCTTTCCAGTCCAGAAGTTTGAAAACGTCTTCCAATGCAGCGGTGAAGAGTTTCGGGGGTATGACGGAAACCGGCTTGTTCGGGAGGCTGGAAGTCGTCAAGTCTGCGCGCGAGACGATTCGTAATGACTCTCGAAAACAGCACGTAGATGCGGCTCAGAAGGGAAATCTGTCTGTAGTTCTTCAAGAGGGCGTTGTCACCTTTCTTGAAGAACAAGACCACCGCACTTCTGCTCCACGCCACCGGTGTAATGCTACCATGGAAGACGGAATTAAAAAGCTTCTGAAAGACATCAAGTACCGGTTTTCCACCCGCTGTAATTCCGTCCTCGCCTGGGGCCTTACCGTTTTTAAGGTGCTGGAGAGCCATTCTAATCTCGCTCAGACTGACGTCCGGGAAATTATCGGAATAGTGTCGGATAAGACTCGCCCTTGGATCGTTACTCACACTTGCGTGTGGCTCCAACGATGATGTGTACAGCTGCCCATAGAACCTCTCAATCTCACTCAAAATCTCAGGTGTCCCGGAAACGCCGCTGCCACACTCGGTCTTCAGCTTCGACAGTTGGCTCTTTCTGGCAGACAGATCTCTAGCAAAGACTTTCGAGCCCTGGTTCCGCTCTATCGCTTCTTCAATACGTTTCGGGACTTTGGATTGGAGCACGAGGGGGACGGAGCGTTGACTTCATTAGACGTGACCTCTCCAACTTAACGTTTAGGTTTAGTGTGCCTCTCCCTATTCGGTGATCGCTGCCGGTTTTCACCCTCGCGATCACTGAGACATCACTGAACAGTTGTCGTCTGGTCGTCATAATGAAGTCAATCTCATTTTAACCCCTTGGGTTCCGTTGCCCTATTCCGAATTTCCCTTCTACTTTCAGCTCACCGTTCTCTCTTGTGCCTAGTTTTGCATTGAAGTTTCCCATTGACACCGTATAGTGGGTTTAGGAGGAAGGCATGGCTCTGGAGATATCCTCATACATTTCCTCCACCTCCTCATCGGGGTGTGCCGAGGTTGGTGCGTAAA